AGAGCCTTCAGTTACCAAGCTCCTCTCTTGTGGAACTAGCTTCCAGTTGTGGTTCGGGAGGCAGACACCCTCACCACATTCAAGAGTAGGCTTAAGACATTCCTCTTTGATAAAGCTTATAGTTAGGGCTGGATCAGGTGAGTCCTGAACCATCCCTTAGTTATGCTGCTATAGGCCTAGACTATCGGGGGATTTCCCATGGTGCACTGAGCTACTCTCTTCCTCTCTCTTTCTGCACTCATTCATGTCCCTTTAATGCATGTTACTAACTCCACTTCTTCCCCGGAGTTCTTGTGCTTTCTCGTCTCGCAGGTTCTCATGGATCCTGGTGGAGCCTCCTGCCATGGTCCTGCTTGACTGCCATTGCCAATACTGTTGTTGCTGTGCACCTGTCTGTCTGTCGCTCTCTCTGTCTCTCTCTCTCTCTCTCTCTCTCTCTCTCTCTCTCTCTCACCCCAACTGGTCGAGACAGACGACCACCCACCTAGAGCCGGAGGATCTGTCCTAGGTTTCTGCCTTTTAACAGACAGTTTTTCCTTGCCCTTGTCGCCAAGTGCTTGCTCATGGTGGTACTGTTGGGTCTCTGTAATTAATGTTAAAGAGTTCGGTCTAGACCTGCTCTATTTGAAAAGTGTCCTGAGATAACTTCTGTTATGAATTGGCGCTATACAAATAAAATTGAATTGAATTGAATTGAATTGTCCCCCAATCTATCCATCTTTTAGATTACAATTAAGGTTTACACAGGCTTGCCACAATATTCGCTCATGGCCACTTTCTGTAACTACTGCCCAGCTTACAAACTTCTGTTTTTTACAGGCTGTAAACTGGCTTACAAGTGGGCTAGTTCTTGCAAAGCCTGCCTCCGCAGAGCACTGACTTGCACCAATATAGGAGAGTTTCTATACCTTCTTAAACATCAGATTTGGAGCGTGCCTCCTTGACACTGACACCTGAGAACAACCCACCACTGAACAAACTGAAAATGGTACTTGATTCTAAATCTTGCACTGGAAGGAATGGCGACATGTTTGAGGAAATTTCCATATTTCCTCAAACAACATCCACCTGTAGAGTGCTACTCTACTACAATGGATATCAAACATGGAAGACATAAACCCGTGAATGGAAAAAAAATGGAGTGCATGAAGTGCGACAAGAGACTGGAAACACTGTGGACACGTGTGGAGGACCTCAAAAACAAAAGCCGGAGGAATAATGTCAGAATTGTGGGACTGAAAGAAGGAAAGGAAGAGAGGGGCAAAGTGACTCAGTATGTGGAGAAGATTCTTCCTCAAGGGCTTGATCTTTCTGGCAACAAGTTTGAAATTCAACACACCCACCGATCTCGCTCCCATCTTGGTCCCAAATGAGCCTCCCCGGACCATAATGTTCATCGGTCCAGGACAAGGTCAAGGAGAAATGCGGAGTTAAATGTTAGCTGTCTTTCTATGAGGATCTGACCAGAGAGCTAGCAGAGAAAAGAAAGGCATTCTGTGTTCCTTTACTCTGGGTTATGTTCTTTTTGTTCATGTTTGACCTTTGCACTAAGACGGTATATTTGAGTAGTTTAACAGCTGTTTTGTTACTATTACTGACATGATGTGCACATTGCAGTAACATACCCAGGTTTATAGATGATGGCTAACGGGTGTATTAATATGATATCATGGAACATAGATGGATGTGAGAACAATAACAGAGGAACATTCTGGCATATTTGAAATCCAAATCCAAACATAGCATTTATTCAGGATTCTCATATATAACAGTGAAGAGGCAGTGAAATTTAAAAAAAGCTGGGTAGTTTTTCATATCTCATATAAATAAAACGGGGTGATGATTCTCATCAATAAAATTATTGTTATGCTAAAACAACACAATGACAGGGAAAGTAGACTTAGTAGGACTGTGTTATGCAACCTATATGCACATATAAGAAGGAAAATTTCATGATATGAATAAAGTGATTGGAAATATGGAGGGTCAAGTTATACTGGCAGGGGATTTCAACTAGGTAATAAATGGGATGATTGTAAACCCGGTGGAAAATCTTAACCCAGGGATAGAACTGCAATACAGATGTTGGCAGAGGACTTGAGTTTTACTTTTTACTCTCACTGCCACGAGTCTCATTCCTGGATTTATTTTAAAACTTTAATAGACATGTTGGCCGTGGCACAGTGGAGTTGCATGTTTTGAGTTGAATACAGATCAATTAATACTACACTGCTGTAAAATTAATAATGTAAAATGTATATTTGCTCCACAGAAAAAATATCCTTTGATTGGGAAGCATGTAAGGCATACATAAGAGGGAACATTCTTAAGAGGGGTAATGGGGTAGTAACCTCATCAAGGGAAATCAATAAGGCTTTTTATCATTTAAATAAAGTGTGAGGAGCTGGGGATTGAAGGAACAACCTTCCTATTAGTGGACGACCCGCTCTACCTCTGAGCCATGTCTTGTTATTTAGAGAAAATACTACCAGACATTATGAATGGTGACCAAGTAGGTTTAATTAAAAACATGTCTTCAGTTGTGAAGGGTTATGCATCTTACATATATGAAGGTTATACAATCTATCATTTGAAATGTCTAGATTGGCACACTGGAACACTGGAAGGGAACGGACCCAGAGCTGAGCTGAATCAAAATCAAACAGGAGCTAGTAAGCCCTATCAAACCTTTAGATGTTCTCTCACATTGTTCAACTATTAATAGACATGATCACTCTTCAAACCCTGTACTGTCTCATTCTAAGGAAGTTTGCACAGGATGTGTCGCAGTTCATACAATCATATACCTCTCTCTGGCATAACCCAGCCATACGTATTGGGAAGAAGTCTCTTTACTGGAAGGAATGGCTTATAAAAGCCACCTTGTGGAAAAATATAATTTGAAAATTAAAGGTAATTTTTAGAAGTACTTACAAATAAGAGACCGTATCACTAAGGGCCAATTAATTCAGGGCAATAATCTAGTGATGGAGTTAATGCAGTTGTCTTGTATAGTACACAGGGCAGCTTTGTTCAATAAAAACGTTAACAGATTACAAGAAGATATCTATAAAAATATGAGTATTGTTTGGCCTAGGAGACCTAGAATGTGATTTCAGTGATGAGAAACTCTAAAAATATGATCAAATACCGGGAAATATGTTCGGAAAGGTAGGGGGAAATGTATTGAGTTTAGGTTAATACATGGTTAATAACATGATTTTATTGTACTCCTAAACTCCACAGGATGGGCTTACTGACCAATTTGGAAATTAAAAGTACTAGAATACATAGGGCAGTGGTTAGGTTCAATGGTGCCTCTGTCACTGAGACTGTGTTTAATGGGGGACCAAACAGAAATGCCCAATATATCAAATATGACATTTAGAGTGATCAAGTTCTGGGTGGACATATGATGTGAGCGGCTGTGGCTCAGAGGCAGAGCGGGTCGTCCTCTAATCGGAAGGTTTGTTGGCTTGATCCCCGTCTCCTGCCCCCACATGTCGAGGTATCCTTGAGCAAGATACTGAACCCCGAATTGCTCCCGATGCTGTGCATCAGTGTGTGAATGTGTATGAATGCGTTAGTTTCTGTATGATGGACTTTGCCATCGCTGAGTGAATGTGTATGAAAGGATGAATGTGGCACGTACTGTAAAAACGCTTTGAGTGGTCGGAAGACTAGAAAGGCGCTATACAAGTCCATTTACCATGTTAGCTGGAGTCAAGAATTTTAAGAGGGTATGGGAACGCATTTCTGGGACATTGTAATGATTTGCTTGTACTTTCATAACTGCTAGATGTCTATTATGGTTGTCCTATATGTGTTCATTTATCATAGGCATTTGTACATCTTGTAACCAAATGTCTGTTTATGTATACTTAAATGAATAAAAACTTTAATGACTTAGAAAGCCATCAGAAAACCACATGTTTGTCTGAATATAAAATGTCTGAAAACCACATGTACGAGTGAAAGCTTTATATAAACATTTGAAAACATATGCCTCTTAATTTATTACATGTGAAGTCTGTAATCACATGTGCCAATAAATGTATGACATGTGAAATGCCACAGAAACCAGATGTGCCAGCAAATGCAAAATGTCCATAAAACATGACGCTCCGAATGCCCCACATGTGAAATATTTAAAAACTACATGTTCCTCGAATACATCACGTGTTAAATAGCCGAAAAACATGAATGTATCTCATGTGAAATGTCCATAAACCACGTGCCTTTGACTGCACCACATGTGAAACGTCTGAATGAAAACCACATGTGCCTTGAATGCATCATGAGTAGATAAATACCAAGAATTGTTAAATGTATTCACATAATAATAAGCATCGTATGAATGTTATATCAGAATTCACAGTAAGTAAAAACTCTTTCTATTCTATCTATATATATATATATATATATATATATATATATATATATATATATATATATATATGGTATATATATATATATATATACGGTATATATATAAATACACATAAAACAAAAACATTTAAATAAATAGATAGTTTTGATGGTATTTCTGACATTAAGTCAGCATGGTAAACTGACTTTTTAAAGGGAACAGAAATCTGTGTGGACTGAATAGACTGATTATCTGTATAGCTTATGCACTGCTAACTTAATGCTTCTTGAAAATTAAAGTCGGAATTCTGAAATTAAAGCCAGAATTCAAATTTTTCTTTTTTTCTCAGAACAAATTTTTTTCCACGTGGCCTTAATCCTCTCCTGTACCTCTATGAAGTGTGAATTTAACACATAAAGAAATACTATAATAGACATCACATTAACTACAAAGGTTTTGGCCTTTCTGGTTTTCTCACTGGAAGGCATTTGTTAATTTGCAGACAGTATTTTTAGTGAGAATCACTCATGTAACATATATATCTCCATCTTGAATATAATTATAGTGATATTATTAGTATTAAATATAAGTTAATTAAAATTAAAACTGGTATCTGAAAAGATAACCTTACCTTCATTTTTTTGGCCTCAGCACGGCTCTTGTAGCAGAATTCTACCAGCGCTACCATCATGGCCAGACCCAGGCCTCCAACTAGGATGTAGAAGACTCCTGCTACGTTACTAAGAGACAGAGCGCTGGTTTTCTCCTAGTACATGTACACACACAGGGAAAAGAAGAGTGCAGGCATCCAGAGAAAAGTGTCAGTGGGGTGGTTATGTTAACAGCTAACTCAGTATTTTATCCCTAACCTGTCATCTGCACATAGTTAACTCATAATGAACACATATACACAATAAATACATCTTTAGATTAGGACAGCACAGAGTCACAGTCACCTTGACTAAACCTAACCTGCATAAATACATTTAAACACATTTAAAACCTTCTTGTCCTTTATCAGTTTGTCTGTGTATTAATCAATGTGTGCTCGTGTATCTGCTATTTTCATATATACGTTTTTGTAGATACTGCAGCAGAAAAAGATAATATATTTTCACTGATAACTGTTTCGATCAGCAAGATCTTCAGACATTGAAAAAGTGAGCAAATTACTTAATAAACATCCAGTGCTACTTTCAGGTTCTCAATAATCAGCTCTAACCATCATTTCTACGATGTTTCATAACATTGTAATTGCTGAATATGGCTGCATCCCTAAAAATAGAGCAGTCAATTGGAGAAGTTGTAAATAAGGCATCAACTTCTCCAGATTATCTAAACTACTTTATTTTGAGGTCAAGCACACCTGCAATGTCAGTAATAATCCCTTATAAATTGAAGCAAAACGTGGGTGTAAACTGTCCAAGTCTAACAAAGCCACTGTCTCTTAGTGTCCCCCAAGGTTTGGTGCTTGGTGTTTCAGTGCCTCTTCATCTTCTATAAACTTCCCCTTCCCCCTAAAATTCTGCCATAATATCTCCTTCTGCCTTGATGGCTCCCCTGTTCCTGCTTCCACACAAATCCCCAAGCTTTGTGTAATTTTTGATCAAACCCTCTCCTTCTCTTAATCACTACAAAAACAGTGTTCTTTCATCAAAAAACATTGCCCGTCTTCACCCCTGCCTCTCTGTCTCAGCTGCTGAAACATTAATTCCACACCTTTATCGCCTCACTAATTGACTACTGCAACAGCATTCTGTACAGCACATCCAGCAAACTCCTACTGAATGTACTACAATACATCCGAAACTCAGCTGCTCATCTGCTTACCCACTTCTGCACCAGAGATCACATAATCCCAGTCCTTTAAAACCTTCACCCCCTCCTCCAACCTCTTCACCCCTCTCACCCCTGGTCAGGGCCTACCTATATGTCACAGAACAAAATATTCTCTACGGCTCTAAGCTGTAGGAACCGCTGCTGCTAACTAGTTAGCAGTACTGGGATTTGTTTACATCAGCGTGTGAGCACCTGAGTCGGGCGAGCAGGCAAAGAAGTGGGACTCACCAGCTTCCTAGCGACCACCCCCACCCCACCCGCAAACCACGTCAAATGATTTAATGGTTATGAGAATAAAGAAGTGACATCGCTTGTTTTTCTTATCAGCAATAAAGTTACAGTTTGACAGTTACACCTCCATGCTTTATCTGAGGATGTCCTACACATTGCATACATCTGTAATCAACTCGTACTAACCATACAGTGAAGGATATAGAACCAAGGTTACTATGCATGCTAAGAGTGTGAAGAGACAGTGTGCTTGACTGATCCACAGACATATACAACTAACCTTATTAGTGGAATCCTTGAAGCCACACTCTCCTTTATCGTACCACCACTTGTTTTTCATCTTGTCTAGGGTCCCTTGCTCATTCAGTTTCAATACGGCAAGGTTTACTGGCACTCTTCAATGGGAATAACATAAATAACATCATTATCAATGTTATCTTATGTTATTAGTGGGGCAGCGGTTCTCGTACTCTAATCTCGCAACCAAAGACAGGACCCACTAATGTTTATTATTTGCTTGGCTTTACAATGTGCCACATTATTTAAATTTAAGACCATACTATATATATATGCCAAATTCTAACGTGTGTAGACAATTAAGACTGTTTTTAACATGATTAATTAGACAAAGCTGTTTAAAATTGATATCCAGTGTTGTCAGGGCCCCTCTGTTTGGCCCCTGAGACAGAGAATGAGAGGCACTGCAGTCAAAAGGCAGCAGTATTCTTCCAGGCCAGAGCCATAGATAAAAAGAGTTTGGCCAGGTTGCACAAACTCTTTATCAATAGCCCTTCTCCTGCACTGTTGCTGCCATCTGGTGTGAGGTCAACTGACCCTGAAGCCTGCCTTAACCCTGACCTCCACCAAACAGGGTGCAACACAATTGTGGAAGAAGCAGCACAGACTACAACGCAACCTGCTGGTGGCTCTTATCAGCAGCTTCTTAATCTAGTATCTATATGTAGCATTAATGAGTATTCATTTGTTCTCTTTGAAAAGTTAGAGCTTGGCATTGCTTATATTGCTGTCTGTTGCCTTCACATGTAGTGTTATAACTGTGCTTCTTCTTTAGATTCTTTTTACACCGGTTAACCTAGTGTAACCCCTATGTTTGTTTGTGTGTGTGTGTGTGTGTGTGTGTGTGTGTGTGCGCGTGTGTGTATTAACCTTGCTCTCCCCTCCTCCGCTGCCGCATTCTCCCTTGTCATACCACCACTTGTTTTTCAGTTTGTCCAGCAGTCCCTGCTCGTTCAACTTTAACACCGCCAGGTTCACCGCATTTCTACATGAACACAGTGGCTGTTAGCAGTTTATTGGTTGTCAAAGTCAGTCCTCCTGCTGGTATGCATGTTAGCAGCATGAACCCTTAATCCTTACAACAAACAGAATACACACAGCTGGAACGATTCTATTTTCTCGGGAGCAAACTTATCAGTATTAGATCTGACATGTCTTAGCGGTTCAAGCTCAACCTGCTGAATAACAATGGAAATAAGAATGTATGTCTAAATCAGAATCACTTGATTATGATATATAATGATAATGTATATATATATATATATATATATATATATATATATATATATATAAAAATATATACATGTGCATGTGTATATATTTGTGTTTTTATGTACATAAGCGCATATATACATATATACGTATCATATGAACTTTGATGAAGAGAAAGCTCTACCAAATGAAAGAACACACTTTCCAGAGAAAAGATTTCTCCAGATGTGCGATATGAGAATAATCTGCTATGTGCGATGCAACTGTTCAATATTCACATCAAAATACTGAGTTAAGATAGAGTATTTGTATCAGTCATTCATTCTGTGACTGGTCTGTCTCATCCAGCATCTCAGTTTAAAACAACCTGACAGATTTTAAGATACGTGGCAACTAAGTTACACAAACGGCATACAAACAGCATTTATTCTGGTAACAATTCGCTATGAGCTGAGGTAGCATGCTGTGCTTGTGTAAACCATAGCAGAGGTTACTAGCAAGAGTTTTAGTACTCTTACTTTCTAGTTAACTTTACTTTGTTCACTTACCGGTCTCCATATGGAATCTGATCAGCTGTTTTTGCTCCATTTGTGTATGTGTGTGGAAGAACTCTGGCCCTGACAGAGAGCAGACAGAGAGGCTGCAGCTACTATAATAAATACTATAGCTCTATAGCTCGTGCCCTCGAATAGCTCGAGGGCATGTTTATTACAGGATTTCCGTACACATCCCTACATAAAATTATTTTCTTATTTATTGCACTACAGGCAGTCTTTCGCAATGTGTTCATCGCACATTTTCCCATCACAATGATGATGAAAACACGATTTATCATTAAGGCCCTAAGGCACATCCGTTTATTAGGGACCAAGCCAGCAACTGCTGGGAGGCCCTATTTTATCTCTAGGAATCATTAGGGACCAAGCCAGCGACCACTGGGAGGTCCCTATTGTATCTCTTGGAATTATTCGGGACAGAGCCAGCAACCTGTTGGAAGGTCCCTATTGTTTTTGCTAAAAATATTATTATTATTATGCCCATTTCCGCCCTACAGCACGAAAAGTCCATAAATGTTATAAACGTTAAAAAGTTTTCGTGTTCCATCCCTGAGTTGCATGAAACTTTTCACGTAGCATCTGAAGACATATTATGATATTTCATAAAATAAGCACGTTATAAAATGAACACTTCCTGTAGATTTTTTGTCAAAAAAGGCAGTGGAGCATTTCTCCACATTGGTATGTCCGATTGACACCAAGCTTGGGTCTACAGTTCCCCATGTCCTTCTTAGGCATCGTGCACAATTAAGGCCATCACTACAACTTGGCGCTCTTTAAAATGAAGTTTATATCTCCACATCGGCACGTGTAATTAAAACGAAACTTGGTACGATTGCCCATGGCTCACTGAGGCTCGCTTAAAAAGGTGTAAAAAACACTGCTCTGGTGGCAGGGTAAATCACTCTGCAGGGACCGTCATAGTTAGTAATTTATCAGATCTGCTTCAAAATTGGCGATCCGCCATGCAGGCCCCCACGTAAGTTGATGGCGAGGTCCCGCCAATGCTGCTTGCAGCTTAAATTAGGGACTAAGCCAGCGACCGTGTATCTCTGGGAATTATTATTTGCTGCACTTCGACTGCATATTTGGCGGCCGCAACATACTTGAAAGCTCATGGAAATTTGCACAAAATTCAAACGTGGCAAAAAATCACTTACATTGTCCCTGTGCATACAATTGTCCCTGTGCATGGGCGCCGCCAAATAGGGCCGACATGTACAAAAATCGGTACGCATGTATACCGTGATACAAGACGCAGAAAAAGCCTCTTGGACCCATACCTCAAACTAAACAGGAAGTCGACCATTTTGGATTTTGTGTTTTTTCTGGTGATTTTCGCCATTGCATTGCATGCAGGGAATTTATTGGATCGACTCCACATGTGGACACAGCCATTTTAAGGCATTCACAATTAAACGTTGCTCTATTTAGATATTCCGCCGAACAGCGTGGACGTATTGCGATGATTCACCATGAAAAAGGAATTTATCATAACTTCTGCGCACATGATCCGATCTCAATGAAACTTGACGTTTGATAAGAATCCCGCCCTGAATACGTCTATGTGATAATATTCAGTAATAGTGAGAGGGCCACCTAGTGGTAACAGGAAATATCACGTCTTATACTTTCATGTTCTACTCCTAGCAGGATGATCAGATTCAGCTGAAATTTACTTACTTACTGCAAAACACATTGTTGATGATATGTCTCATATCTTTAAGAGCTCATAGTACCCTATTACCCCACTAGAACACTACGTTCTCTGAATGCTGGGCTACTTGTGGGTCCTATAGTCTCTAAAAGTAGAACAGGAGACAGAGCCTTCAGTTACCAAGCTCCTCTCCTGTGGAACCAGCTTCCAGTTGTGGTTCGGGAGGCAGACACCCTCTCCACATTCAAGAGTAGGCTTAAGACATTCCTCTTTGATAAAGCTTACAGTTAGGGCTGGATCAGGTGAGTCCTGAACCATCCCTTAGTTATGCTGCTATAGGCATAGACTATCGGGGTTGCTGTGCGTCCGTCCGTCTGTCCGTCCGTCTGTCTGATGTGGAGTCGTTTCTGCCTTTTAACAGGCAGTTTTTCCTTGCCCTTGTCGCCAAGTGCTTGCTCATGGTGGTACTGTTGGGTCTCTGTAAATAATGTTTTAAAGAGTTCGGTCTAGACCTACTCTATTTGAAAAGTGTCCTGAGATAACTTCTGTTATGAATTGGCGCTATACAAATAAAACTGAATTGAATTGAATGTGATGACTGTGGTGAGTTGGCGTGTCTGTGGCCTGGCGTGAAATTTTGATGTACCACCACAAAACACGAGTTTGCTATAACTTGAATGTACATTGTCCATTGGGCTCCAAACTTCAGAGTCCCACCCTGAACACGTCTACATGGCAATATTCAGATATATTGATAGCGCCAACTACTGGCAACAGGAAGTAAGTGCAGCATGGTGATTTTGATCTGATTTACGTGAAATTTCATGTTTTGGTCTGCACGTGTTACGACGGCACGTGACGCGGCCGCAGCATACCCTGAGTTGCGTGGATTGCGAGGTCCCGCCCAATGCTGCTTGCAGCTTTGATTTGGTATTGGTCTCCAAACATACTTATCCAAAGGTGAGTGTGGGAATACTTTACGTGGCTCCTGGTGAGTCAAATTAAAATGTTCACTTTTAAATTAAAAAAAGTTGTTCCTTGAAAATGTTGAGTTTAGGATAAATATTCTGAACGAAATCAAAATATGTTGTTTAATATGTACCTATAATCATCTTTGGATACTATTTGGAGACTAAAAGCAAATAAAAGAATGTGCACATTTGCATCAGTATTCTGTGTTCTTGTGTGTTCTTTCATTTGGTAGAGGCATTTTTTAATCAAAGGTTCTACGATGTAGATACATTGGGCTTCTCCAGGCATCTCCCATAGGCTTCTATAGAACTGGGACCAATGTCATCTGTTGCCATCTGTCATGATGTAATGATCTCTCATTCCTTTTTGGTTTCCTTGACAAAAACAAGCAGTCAGATGATCAGACAGGTTGTAAAAAAGTCATGTATTAACTTCATATATTAACTGACTGTTGTGTATCCATCTGTATTTATGAATAGCATATGGCACAAGGATTCTTTTTTTAGTTTTCAGATAATGAGTTGATGGCTATGTGGTGGAGCATCCTGTCTTGCACTTAAAATTTTAGTAGTAGTTTCCATTAGACTGAAGTAGAACATACTACAGGAGCTGGCTGCACAAAGTTAAACACTGATATGCTCGCACAAGTATATAACAAATAATCACTTTATGCTGCTTGGCTTTGTTACAACAGCAAACT